CTACACTCCACACTCTACACACGACACTCCCCACTTCCCACTTCACACTTTGCATTCCACACTTCACAGTCTACATTCCACACCCTACACTTTACACTCTACACTTTACACTCCACACTTGACACTTTACACTCCACACTTTACACTTGACACTTTACACTCCACACTTTACACTCCACACTCTACACTTTACACACCACACTCCACACTTTACACTTTACACTCCACACTCTACACTCCACACTTTACACTCCACACTTTACACTTTACACTCCACACTCTACACTTTACACTCCACACTCCACACTTGACACTCCACACTTTACACTCCACACTCTCCACTCTACACTCCACACTTTACACTCCACACTTTACACTCTACACTCCACACTTCACACTTTACACTCCACACTCTACACTCCACACTCTACACACGACACTCCACACCCCACACTTTACACTCCACACTTTACACTCCACACTCTACACTTTACACTCCACACTTTACACTCCACACTTTACACTCTACACTCCACACTTTACACTCCACACTCTACACTCTACACTCCATACTTTACACTTTACACTCCACACTTTACACTCCACACTCCACACTCTACAGTTTCCACTCCACACTCCACACTCTACAATCCACACTCCACACTCTACACTCCACACTTTACACTTCACACTCCACACTTTACACTCCTCACTCCACACTCTACACTTTTCACTCCACATTTTTTGCACTTTACACTCTACACTCCTCCACACTTTACACTTTACACTCAGCACTTTACACTCCACACTTTACACTTTACACTCCACACTCTACACTCCACACTCTACACACGACACCCCCCACTCCCCCACTTCACACTTTGCACTCCACACTTCACAGTCTACACTCCACACCCTACACTTTACACTCTACACTTTACACTCCACACTCTTCACTCCACACTCCACACTCCCTTCTCCACACTTTACACTTTACACACCACACTCCACACTTTACACTTTACACTCCACACTCTACACTCCACACTTTACACTCCACACTTTACACTTTACACTCCACACTCTACACTTTACACTCCACACTCCACACTTGACACTCCACACTTTACACTCCACACTCTACACTTTACACTCCACACTCTACACACGACACTCCCCACTCCCCACTTTACACTTTACACTCCACACTTTACACTTTACACTCCGCACTTTACACTCCACACTCCACACTCTACACTCCACACTCTACACTCCGGACTCCACGCTCTACACTCCACGCTCTACACTCCACACTCCGCACTTTGCATTCCACCATCTTCCGCATTCCACAGTCTACAGTGCACTGGTACGGTAACAGGGGAAAATGCAGACTGTTCACATAACTTGTTTCACAAAAGTTTTGTGGGCTGCATCTTGTTTCTGACCTGGCTTGTTGCTGCTCAAGCACCACATCTTCGGCATTGCAGAGTTCCAGTCACATGGCCAGATCGCTGGAAACCCATTCATAAGTTTGTGTAAGTTTGTCACATACCAGCAGCATCCAGAGGAGCCAAGTTTATCTCAGAGAGGGGTTTGGTTTGATGCAAAATTCATGATGATCCTAATGGCAACACCGGATTAAAAACCCCCCTCACAAGGTCAGATAGCTTTGTAAGGTCTTTCCTAGCGTTCCCCCTTAATAATAAGCACCTCTGAACCATAAAATTTTGGATATGGCTTAAGTCAATTAGATCTTCACAGAATTCCATTGGATTTGATAAGGTTTGATTGTTCAAATCGAATGGACCCCATAAGATTCCATTGAATCTGATGAGATTTGATTGTTAAAAGCTCATGGACCCCATAAGATTCCATAGGTTTGACGAGATTTGATTGCTAAAATTTCATGGATCTCATAAGATTCCATTGGATTTGGTGAGATTTGACTGCTAAATCTCATGAGCCCCAGAAGATTCCATTGGGCTTGATGAGATTTGATTGCTAAAATCTCACGGATCCCATAAAATTCTTTTGGGTTTGATGAGATTTGGTTGCTAGAATCTCATGGATCCCATAAGATTCCATTCGGCTTGATGAGATTTGATTGCTAAAACCTCATGGGTCCCATAAGATTCCATGGGATTTGATGAGATTTGATTGCTAAAATCTCATGGGTCCCATAAGATTCCATGGGATTTGATGAGATTTGATTGCTAAAATCTCACGGATCCCATAAGATTCTTTTGGGGCTGATGAGATTTGGTTGCTAGAATCTCATGGATCCCATAATATTCCATTGTGTTTGGTGAGATTTGATTGTTAAAATCCCATGGACCCCATAAGATTCCAGTATAGGTTTGATGAGACTTGATTGCTAAAATCTCATGGATCCCATAAGACCGCATTGGATTTCTAAAACCCCATGGGCCCCATAAGATTTCATTGGATTTGATGGAATTTGATTGCTAAAATCCATTGGATCCCTTTAGAATCCATTGGATTTGATGAGATTTGATTGCTAAAGTCCCATGGATCCCATAAGATTCTATTGGGTTTGATGAGGTTTGATTGCTGAAATCTCATGGATCCCATAAGATTCCATTGGAATGAATGGGCAAATCCAAAGAAAAGACATTAGGGACATGGTGGGTTGATTAATCAGCGAGCACCTTGGCTTTCATTTATGGGGGACATGGGCTCCTGGGGGGTACCTTTTGGGAGCTATCCAAACTGATGATTTTTCAAGAGAATTTAATTATCCCAAAAGATTCCATTGGGCTTGGTGAGATGTGATTGCTAATTAAAACCTCATGGGCCCCATAAGATTCCACTGGATTTGATGAGATTTGGTTGCTAAAATCTCATGGATCCCACAAGATTCCATTGGATTTGATGAGATTTGATTGCTAAAACGTCATGGACCCCATAAGATTCCATTCGGTTTGATGAGATTTGGTTGCTAAACTTCATGGATCCCATAAGATTCCATGAATTTGGTGAGATTTGATTGCTAAAATCCCATGGCCCCATAAGATTCCATTGGGTTTGGTGAGATTTGATTGCTAAAACCTCATGGACCCCATAAGATTCCATTGGATTTGATGAGGTTTGGTTTCTAAAGTCTCATGGATCCCATAATATTCCATTGGGCTTGATGAGATTTGATTGCTAAAATCTCATGGGTCCGATAAGGGTCCATTGGGTTTGGTGAGATTTGATTGCTAAAACCTCATGGATCCCATAAGATTCCATTCGGGCTGGTGAGATTTGATTGCTAAAACCCCATGGATCCCAGAAGATTCCATTGGGTTTGATGAGATTTGATTGCTAAAATCTCATGGGTCCGATAAGAGTTGATTGGATTTGGTGAGGTTTGATTGCTAAAACTCCATGGATCCCATAAGATTCCATTGGATTTGAGGAGATTTGATTGCTAAAACTCCATGGATCCCGTAAGGTTCCATTGGATTTGATGAGATTTGATTGCTAAAATCCGTTGGACCCCAGAAGATTCCATCGGATTTGATGAGGTTTGATTGCTAAAATCTCATGGGCCCCAGAAGATTCCATTGGAGTTGACGAGATTTGATTGCTAAAATCTCATGGTTCTGAGATTCATGAGACATGATGAGAAACCAAAAGAATTGGAAATAAATATTTTTGGTGAAAAAATGAATTTCAGCACTGGAGGAGTGATGAGAATCAAAAAGAATTGGAAATAAAAAAATTTGGATAAAAAAAGGAATTTCAGCACTGGTGGTTTATTAATCGGGTGGTAGGCCAAAGAGTTTTTTAATCCAGGGGGACCACCTGTTTTTAAAATTACCAAAAAAAAATCGGGGCAGTGGTGGTTGATGAATCGGGAGGGGTTGATTAATCCTGACTTGACATTAGTGGAGAAGGCATAACTTTCAGGGCAATGACAGCGAGTAATAGTTCCCATCATGTCATGTTGCCTCACTCTCTCTATTGGATACATCTCAAGGTTCGTGTTGTATATTTTGAAGCTTCATCAGTTGCATGATTTTAGATCATTATGTTCTCCTGCATTCCAAATTCATTTTTTTCCATTGCGCCATGGCCCAATCGATTCGTATCCAAGTCCCGAAAAAGGGCACATTCACTTGCAGCAGTAGCACAGCAGAGGAGGCCCTGGAGTATTTGCGGCAAGTGTTGGGTGAGCCCTGGCATGGCAACAAGCTGTTGTCTTGCGGTCCACAGAAGTTGAGACCCCAGGACCTGCTGCATGAATTCAATGAAGACCTCGTGTTTGCAAACTATTCATGCTTGAGTTCTGGACCTCCGGTTCCTATCCCAAGAACCGAAGTGCGTGGAATCACCATCAAGCAGCTGTCACATTTCCTGGAATTTGTTGAGGAAAGGGCCTCCTCTTGGTGTGAGTGTGCTTCAGTTTCACCACCCTACGGGCAACCTTTGTCTTTCAAGGACTTCAACATGTATCATTCGGAATACTGGGTCATTGGCCCTGCTACGGACAGTCCCTTGAATTGCAGCTACGTAGAGTTGGTTGCCAGCGAGGCTGCAAGTCAACGGCCTCTGTGGTATGTCACGCATCTATGGCAGCAGCCACTCCACGAGTTCATGACGTGCCTCAGGCGCCACGCTTCTTTGCGCGAGTTGCCTGAGCACACAACCTATTGGGATAGCGCTCTGGCAAACAACCATAATGAGCTTGAGATGTGCGATCCCCGAAAGCAGGGCTTCTGCCGTGCACTGAAGTTGTGTACCGGGCTCTTGCTGATCTTCGATCAGAATGCCGATGTGATGACCAGGATCTGGGGGTGCTTTGACGCGTCTCTGGCACTGGAGGAGCGCACCATGTCTCTGGTAGTGGAGAAGCGCAACAAGGAGAAGTCCGGGAAGCACTTTCTGCTGGATGTGGCGGCCATGGATCGTCCTGGCGAAGCACATCTCATCACAGATGGGCTGGCCGGTGCTGAGGAGCGTACGGAGCGAGCGCTGGGTCTTTTGTTGAAAGGCCAGCGCGAGGCCAAGTTCCCGCGATTCATTCTGCACGAAGCCGCGTATGTTGAGATTCCCGAAGCTAATGCAACCAACCATGATGACAAGATAAGGATCCTCAACAGCGTTCGTTGTCCACGGGCAAACAGGATAGAGTTAGCACTAAGATCTAATCCAAGCCTTGATGCATTGAGAAAGTTCATGAGAGAAAAACTGGAGGAAACCGAGAAGCTCTCTTCATTGGCCAACGACCTTAGTGTTTTTCTTAGTGAGAACCAGAAAAAGACAGACGGAGTTGAGAAGCTTGTGCAGGACATGGATGAAGAGCTTTGGAACGAACAGGACGACACTGTGCAAAAGTTTCTCCCGGAGTTTGCCTTGTTTGAATGGAGCAAGGACAGAGTTGAGCAGAAGGTGCAAGAGATCCGTGTTCTTCATAGCTATCATGCAGGAGTCAGCATGGCCTACTTGCTGCACGATTTTGTGCACTTAGCCCAACAGAGATCACAAGAAGTAGATCCAACCTTTCTCCGATTGAAAGAAGCCTTTTGGCTCTGTAAGGATAAAGTCGGCCAGGACTTGTACTGCCCAAGAGATGGCAAGTTGGGTCGTGCGCTGGTGGATTTGCTTCCCCCAAAACATCGACAAAGGCAAAACTACTTCATGTCCTGGACTTGGCAATACTCAGTGGGACAGGTAAGAAATGCGTTGCAAATGTGGAAAGCACCGATGGCAGCTGAGAATGTCTTTTTCTACATGTGCTTTTTTGTGAACAATCAATTCCGTCTCATTGTGGATGGAACTCCAGCTGGCAGTGACAACTTAGAAGAGGTCTTCGAAGAGAACCTTCGACGCTGTGGCCAGATGGTAGCCATTTTGGATGGATGGCACCAGCCCAGATACCTGCGACGAGTTTGGACGATCTATGAACAGTATGTCGCGTGCTCTCTGAAGATAGACGTGGCATTTGTGATGCCTCATGAAACCTGGATTTGCTGGATTGTTTGTTTGTTTTATCATTGGTTAATCATGATTAATCCACCAAAGGTGGAAATCTGTGGGTGAATGAAACAATGATGGGTGAATCTTCATTTTGAGCGAGCGTTACATTAAACTGCTACAGGTTTTCCGTAAGCCACCACTTACAAAAAGTGCCCAATCTACTCTTAGTTCTCTGTTCTTTTGGCGCCCCTGCATGATCGCAAATCCAAGGAAGCAAGTGCCTCCCTGTCCCAGAGGATTTCTCTTGGAGATAAAGGCATTGCCGAGGTGACCCGATCCCTCTGCGAAGTCAACGTGGCCAATGCAGAAGCATATGATCCACGGGATGAGAAGAAGGTCAAAGACACGATCCAAGAAAGTGTGGGTTTTCAGGTGGGAACCAGCCAAAACACCAAACCTGACCCTGGTTGATTGGTTAATTGGTTTGGGGGGTTATACAGTTATACTTCCCTTTTTATCCATTTCATCCATTGCGATTGCCGGAATCCCATTCTGAACCACGTGTTGCGTGCATTGCAGCCGTTCAGGAGGTGAATCGGCATGTGAAAAGTGCCATGGTTCAATGGATCGGTGGCGTTGTCAAAGACAAGTTTGAGAAGCTCGTGAACGAAACGGGCGAGGAGTGCGAGGACACCGAGGATACATTTTTTGTATAGAAGTCTAGCACAAGTCTAGTAGCAGGCTTTAGAGATTTTAAGTTAAAATGTGTGGAAAATGTTATGACCGCGATCGTGCGTTGTATGCTTGCAGTATAATTTAACAGTCGCTATGGTGATGTCAATGAGAAAGATGGTTGAATGATGGTTTCTTGGTTTGTTCGTTGAAAAAAAAGCTACAATGTGAGGCCCCAAAACATTTGTTTGTATGTGTATATATATAATATATACGGTAACGACATTTAAATATGTGGAGGGCGGGCCAGACCGCAAGGCCCCGGAGGTAGTATGAAATACCAGTTCGTATATTTAAATGTAGTTGCAGTATGTTTAAATGAATTGGATTCCGTATGTTTAAATGGCTGGGCAGGCCAAGGAAAACCTTCCCGGAGGTAGTCTAAAATACCTGTTCGTATATTTAAAAATCCGTATATTTAAATGTAGTTACCGTATATATATACGTGTGTGTGTGTACATATACACTGATTACAATGATTACAATGTACAACAATTTGTCATGTAACATATACATATATCATATTCATATATTATTAACATATACATATATCATATTCATATATTGTTAACATATACATATATCATATTCATATATTGTTAACATATACATATATCATATTCATATATTGCATACACAATTAGCAAAAGATTTTTTGGCGGATGTAGCTGGAGGTGATGAAGTGCCTGGACGCCGCTCACAATGCTCTGCTGGGAACTCCCGCGCCCACAGAGGCGCGCGGCGAATTGGTCCCGGTATGTCCCTGCGGGCTCCTGGAGATGGTTTTCTGCGAGCAAGGAGGTGTGTTTTGAACAAAAACGCCTGGGTTTTTTGTTTCAGAGTTAAATTGGAATTAAGTATCAATTATAGTGGTTGTTTATGGAGATTTTCACGAAGGTATGGGGATATCATGAAATTGAATAAATGATGATTGGTGAATTGTTTGTAACTTATAGTTTTTAATTTACTGCAGATTATTATAAGCCATAGTAGGGAAACCGTATCCAACCAACTAGTAATTCATCAGATGGAATAGGGGTTATGCTTGATGATAGAAAACACCAATATGACAAATTTTGGGAGCCACTGGACCACGAAAACTATGAAATTATGATTCGTAGTATCAATCCATATTCAATCACTTTTTTAATTCATGAATCAATATGGTGAGTATAGTGATTTGTAGTATCACCATATTAAAACATGAACCCCATCACCATATTCAACTCTTCAACCATGAATGTTCCGGGTCAAGAATTGTGACCCATAGCCACCAGTATGTGGTTGCAGATGATCCCCTCATGGGTCCTTGATGGGCACCTAGCAGTTGTAACTCGGTTTGATGCATGGGGCTGCTTGATTTTTGCAGGAAAAGAAGATGGCCCAAGCCTTGGTTTGGAGTTTAACAACCACCTTGGACCCGCAAGATTGATCACCCTTGGTATTAAACGACCCGCTAAGTACATATTTTTGACCTATAGCAACTTCAAAAAAAAAATAGAAAAGTAAAATCCCTATCATTAAAGATTGTTTTTCTGTCTTTTTTGGGGGGGTTACTCTACACTCAGTTTAGGAACCTTGGGTTTCTTATCTGGTAGTTAGAAGGTGTAGCCCCATGGTTGGTGGTTATATTCTGCAATTTCGTTGGGTTGAACCCCGGGTATCATAAACTCCAAATTATGTCAACGCCCCTGTAATCTTTGTGGAAATGAAGCCCCAGTAGCCATCATATTAAACCTCGATATGTGGGTTTTAAGTGCGGTGGCTTCAAATGCCATAAGAATAAGACGGGAATGAATGGCTTGTATGCTTAGGACAAGAGATCCAGCCCTCCACTAAACTGACATACATATTGTGGAACACCATTCATGTGTGGATCCCTTTCCTGGCAAAACCATCGGTTTTCCATATCGATGTTTCCTTTTCTGGAGGGTCCATTATGACATACATTGACCCTTACACTATTTTATGTTAATTTAAGCCAGATACTAGGCATCCATATTCAAATCTGTTACCATCCCCACAACTCCATAAGATGTTTGCCAAGCGAATCCACTTACGAAATATTCCAATATGACATTCCGCCAAATCTATATATATATACATATATATTCTTAATATATGTATGTATGTATATATATTTATTTATTTATTTATTTATATGTACATATGTTTATATATATATATCTTATTTTTTACATGTTGGAAGACACTGTATGGATTTCATTTTATATCCACCAGTTAGTCCGCACATGAATAATATGTTGGTGTCCATTAATTTCATCTCCATATATCCATTAGCTGGCCCATGTTTTATCACAATATCCCACCACAATATCCGCTAATCAGTCCATTTATATATATATATGTATATGTATATATATGTTTTACATACGTGTACATTTATATATATATATATTGCTTGATACCCATTGCTATCCATGAATTTATCACTATGTCCAGCCTATATTATCAGCCCCTTTCATGCCCCATCATGAAACTAGTCTATGACAACAACCCAGTGTAAAGTCCATAGTTTGGTTAAGTTACAGGCGCAGCAAATAGCCTAATTTGAACATCTCAATGCAAATTCCGCATCGAAGTTATTGATAGTTGTGATTGTCCCAATGATTGTCATCATCCCTCAAAATCCGAACATGCATCAGAAATATCCTATCTAGTATCCCGACCCTGAAAACCTGCCAATCTTTGCCATAGTTCTTGGATGTTTTTGTAATCTTCCAAACCCCAACTCGTGTCAGGGTCGTCATGTTCGTTGGGGGGATGGTATCTTGCCAAATCCACAGGTGACACAAGAGAAACCCGTGGGCCCTGCGATTCTGGTCAGCGGCCATGATCCTTGCTGCAGCAAAAATTGCTGGGGTTTATCCCAGACCCAGGATAAATGGATGGATTATGGCACAATTTATAGGTTGATTGATAGATCATATACAACAATGCCCATAATTTTGATAGATAATATATGTTGTTGACCAATGATTGTAGATGTTCTCTATTTTGCTGAAGTTAGATGGACTAACTTGTGGTTTGTCCAACACGAGGGGCCCCCGCGATTATAGGTCGGTTTAGATTCCCATCTAGCATCATCTACCTCAGAATCTGCACATGCCTACTTTGTGGTTTGGGGGGTCAGCACGATTTGACTCAGACTTGGTGGTTTTCTACTGAAGATTGCGCAACAAAAATGTTCCGAATGCCTTACAAACATGTGTGTGTGACCCATGCCTACATTTTCACTGACAGAACCCTCGTCCTTGCTGGTACTACTCCATGTTTCCTGACAGGATCTGTTTGTGTTTGTTGCTTCAACCAATATTGCCTCTTAAACCTTTATTTTCATCTCTGCCGCTGTTCTTCTAGCCTAAATCGCCCACATGATAGGTAAGTTGGTTTATCAATAGCTCTCCTTTCTTTGCGGGTGCCCATGTTTGACCCGTACCCAATGAGCTGAAAAAAGTGATGCTGAGCAAATTCCAGGACCCCTATTAATCAAGCATGGCTAGCTGGGAATCAACATCTCCGAACTAAATGGATGTTTTTAGGCTGAATCATCGAACTAAATGGTGGTTTTTCCACAGCTATGTGAATGACCAAAGGGTACCATAATTACCGCAGATTATCATCCCACGATCCCAAAAGTCAGCGTTGGAAAGCAGCTGAGGTGATAAAACCAAGCATTTCTTGGGCGCGTAATGGGATATTATGAGATGTGCAACCAACACATGGCGTTGATTGTTTGCCTTCCCATTGGTCAATTTGCCACTCCAGGACTTAATTAATGTGGGCAAAACAATAATAAACCATCCCCCAAATCACCATAAATAAATAGTTGGTATAAACAATTCCCAAATGGGTGGTTTATTATTGTTTTACCCACATTCCTGGTTTTTTTATGGCTCAAAGAAAATTAGATGGTTTCGAACCAACATGTTGGGTCAACCTTGGCCTCATTGATTGATGGATTGTTTTTCTGACTGTTTCGGTGGAGGCATGTTTGATATCCCGAGATAGTAACCCCCACAAAGATTCAGAAAAAAAAACATTTGCTCCCACTGAGAATTGAATATTGAACTTCTGCATCTTTTCAGGGGGTGCTATGACATGAAAACAAGCTACTGAACATGGTATCTGGACCATTTAACCTGGTTGGTGGCGTCAAATACTGGTTGTCTTCCGGATCATCCTGTTTTTGCATGTTTTTACAATAGCTATTGGCCAATATGGGGCTCTCGTAAAATGGAGGATCCCAAAAACAATGGTTTCAATATTGAAATGCTCTAACGACTTGGATGACTTGGGGGTACCCCCATTTTAGGAAACCTCCGTGTGTTTCAGGGGGTTGAAGCTACCAAGCAGTTTCTGCATTTATGGTGGTATACCTAGAAGTAGAGATGGTGGGTGACGGTCAAAAATGGTGTTCGGAATTGATTTCATGGCGATCCACGTACTTTCTTTTCCAGGAGGATTCCATATTTGTCGAGAATGGTTTGGACACATCGACAACAGCACAGAGTGCCTTGAGGGCTAAATCATGTCGGTATAGACTCCCAGCTTGTTGGATCAATGGACAGTAGGCGGTGAGGTTATGAAATCACCCAGTAGACATAGAATGATGGCACGTATTCCTCAACTAATACCCTATGAATTTGGCACCCCAGCCTTGTGCGGTGCAGATGGTTCGCACATATGATTCAAGATTCTGCGTGTTTGGGTCCTTAAATCACAAACCATTGCAATATATCCTGACAGAGATTGGGGGTTCCAGTAGGAGTATCGCATCATATGTGGTTGGCAATGTCAAATAAGGCCATGGATCACAACTTTAGCACGCTTCAGTTTACATCAAGATGGTTTGTTCGATTCCCCAATCGCGACTGGTGAAGGCTGATCTTTGGCCATGTTGATGGCAATATGGGGGGTTTGAAATGGGGTATACCTAATGAATGGCTGTTTCAATAGATGATTCAGTGGAATTAGGTGTTCCCCTAAATTTCAGAACCAATATGGATTACTAATTTGCACCTAAGATGGGCCAAGGCTATGTCCCAAGTACTTGACCAAGTCCGAGCAATTCAACAGTTTTGAAACCTCCTGATGTGAGCTATGCTCAAAACTTGGGCTACAAACTATCAGGGGGATAGTTGCAAAGTCACTCCCCCAATTAATATCAGTTTCCACGACCCAACGAAAAGAATTCTAGATGGTTACCAGGAGTTCAGACCCAATCCCCAGTGTTGCAATGTCCAATACTCCTGTAGGTCATTTTTTAAAGAGGAGTTCGGCTGGCTGGTTCAATGGGTAATTTCATATCCCCAGGGAATCCTATCGCTCCCCGCTTCAACATAAGAAGACTTGAAACCGAGACAAACATGATAGGTTACGACTATGAGCAAAAAGAAGGACATGACCGAGCAATGAATGACCGAGCTTCATCATCATCTTCAGTTTATTTGAATTTGCTTCAAAATGGGAAACACCAAAGCATTGGGTACACTCTATGGTTGTCCTGTAAATCTTGCAGCCAATTCTCTGTGCTGGGCCAATCCGAAAAAAATCCGGTATGCCCGATGTCATGGACAATGGGAAAATGATGTAATATGATGATAAACGAGGGGATTCCGGGGTTTCCACGCTTTTGGGGCAAAGCGTTCTGATGGGTACATGGGTTCCTTGTCACCGTTGGATTTGGGTCCTATCATCTAAAAAATGGTGTGTTTGAACATTTGGGGAATATCCCAGAATACCATAATCATTGTTTCCCTATCACATAAATTGCCATGAACATTGCACCTATAATATATATATATATATATATATAATATCATAATATTATATATATATATATTACACCCCGTGTTCTGAGATAAATTTACGGCCAGCTTGGCCAAAAATTGAAGAATTGTTTGACTTTGCCTTGATTATAGGTGACCTCTAGATGGCCCCGCAGAAACGCTGCCACACAACGCCTCAGCAACGACGGGGCATCGAGGAGACAGACTGACGCACGCGGTGCCGCACGCAGAAATGATGCAGGCCACGGGCCATTCTCCACTGCTTCACGGCAGGGGGCTCGCGGCGCTAGGCATCGAAGGATGGTGGGGGGCCACAAACCGAGTGTTCCACCAAGGATTTAGCGGTGCTTCTCCGAGTGTTGGAACAAAGTGAGGCGGCACATGGTGGGACACGGAGGGGCTCTAAACAAAAAGAGTGGGGAGTGGCAGGTTTCAATAGGACGATGTTGTGATCTTAGCAACAAGCCCGCGCTCCATTGTGGTATGATGGTAATGGGTCCCTGGGCCGAAATCGATGGTGCCATGCTTGCAGGGATGAAGGAACACACCAGGCCCAGAATAATCTCGACATATTTTGATATATTTCCAGTAGTACCGCACAAGGCGGTGGTGGAAGTTTCAAAAATAAGAAACCTATAGGAGAGGGTTGTTGTGAATCACGGATGGTAGAGCGAAGCCACTGATGGATCGAAAGGTGATTGATGTCTCCTCTCTTTCTCTTTCTTTCTGTCTCTTTCTCTGACTATTTACCTACCTACACACCTATCTATCTATGTATCCATCTATCTCTCTCTCAATCTCTCTCTCTCTGTCTGTCTGTCTATCTATCTATCTATCTATCTATTTATCTATCTATCTATCTATCTAACTACCTATCTATCTAGCTACCTATCTATCTATCTATCTATCTATCTAGCTACCTATCTATCTATCTATCTATCTATCTAACTACCTATCTATCTAGCTACCTATCTATCTATCTATCTATCTATCTATCTATCTAGCTACCTATCTATCTAGCTACCTATCTATCTATCTATCTGTCTATCTATCTATCTATCTAGCTTTCAATCTATCTCATCTGTCTATCTAACTATGTATCTATCTATCCCCCCATCTACCTATCTAGCTGTCTCTCTATCTAATCTAATCTCATCTCATCTAATCCAATCCAACGCAATGCAATCCAATCTAATCTTATCTAATCTAATCTAATCTATCTTCTTTTCTCTTCTCTTCTCTTCTCTTATCTTATCTTATCTTATCTATCTATCTATCCATCTATCTAATCTAACCTAGCCTAATCTAATCTAATCCCGTCTAATCTTTTCTATCTTTCTATCTACCTATCTGTCTATCTATCTATCTGTCTATCTGTCTGTTTGTCTATCTCTCTATCTATCTATCTATCTATCTATCTTTCTTTCTTTCTTTCTATCTTTCTATCTTTCTATCTTTCTGTCCTCCTATCTTCCTATCTTTCTATCTGTCTATCTACCTACCTATCTATCTATCTCCCCATCTACCTATCTACCTGTCTCTCTATCTAATCTAATCTAAGCTAAGCTAATCTAATCTAACCTAATCTAATCTCATCTCACCTAATCTAATATATCTATCCATCTATCCATCTATCCATCTATCCATCTATCCATCTATCTATCTATCTATCTATCTATCTGTTGTTCTATCTATCTATCTATCTATCTATCTATCTATCTATCTATCTATCTATCTATCTATCTATCTGTTGTTCTATCTATCTATCTATCTATCTATCTATCTATCTATCTATCTTTCTATCTATCTATCTATCTAGCTAGCTATCTATCTATCTATCTAGCTGTCTCTCTATCTATCTTTCTTTCTATCTTTCTAGCTTTCAATCTATCTCATCTGCCTATCTAACTATGTATCTATCTATCTCCCCATCTACCTATTTATCTATCTAATCTCATCTCATCTCATCTATATAAACTAATCTCATCTCACCTAATCTAGTCCAATCCAATCCAATCCAATCTAATCTAATCTAATCTAATCTATCTAATCTATCTGTCTATCTATCTTGTTAATCTAATCTAATCTTCTCTTCTCTTATGTATCTATCTATCTATCTGTCTATCTATCTATCTATTGTTCTATCTATGTATCTATCGATCTATCTATCTATCTATTGTTCTATTTATTGTTCTATCTATCGATCGATCTATCTATCTCTCTCTCTCTCTCTATCTGTCTGCCTGTCTATCTATCCACCTGTCTATCTGCAAGCTTGAAAACGAAACTAGTCTGCGAGACGTCCTCAGGTTTTGAACTTGACAACATCAAAATCGGAGCAATTCTATGAGACCTCCTCAATGTTTGAACTTGACAACGTCAAAAGCGAAACAATTCTGCGAGGCTTCTTCATTTTTTGAACTTGACAACATCCAAACGAAGCAATTCTGCGAGACTGCGTCAATTTTTGAACTTGACAACATCAAAAACAAAGCAATTCTGCGAGACTTCCTTCAAAAATGGAAAGTTGACTGCAGCGCTTACGGCCTCGTACCGATGCGTTTTGTGATTTTTCCATTCCACCTGTCTAAAGTACTGCGCCTGCCACGAAAAAGTGATGCCAGGTCATACCAAGTGCTGCACGTGTCACGCAAAACCATCTTAGCAAACCTACAGATCTGATGCTCCAAAATACCACCCCTCTCAGGAAATCAGCGCCCTGACCTCCTAACATCTCTCATGAACATGTCTTTTGTACTGCGCCTGCCACGCGAAATGCATCTTTGTAGATCCTCTTCAAATGTCCCACGCCTGCCATCGTCTTTGGAAATGCTACAAAACCCTCACGTTTTGCTCACTTTTGACAAGGTGCACAATCCCTTGCACCTGCCACGCGAAACGACATCTGAACCTCCAAAAGTGGCGCGAACATGTGGTGCTTGTACATTTTGACTTCGAAATGTGCTTCGCGCCACAACGGCGTGCACTTGTTCGACATCTCAACTTCCAAAAGTGGTCCGGAGCTGGTGTGTTTTGAGCATGTTGACTTCGAAATGTGCTTCGCACCACAACGGCGTGCACTTTTTCGACATCTCAACTTCCAAAAGTGGTCCCAGCATGGTGTTTTGTACATTTTGACTTCGAAATGTGCTTCGCGCCACAACGGCGTGCACTTTTTCGACATCTCAATTTCCAAAAGTGCTCCGAACGTGAAGTGCTTTTAGCTTTTTCACTTGCAAATGTGCTTCGCGCCACAACGGCGTGCAGTTTTTCATTTCTCATCTGGCCAGATGGCTCCGCACCCGCCGCTTTAGGGAGCCTAGTTTTCGACCCTCCGGAGTCACAAATCATGGGAAAAAAAAGTGTTTCGCGACTTTCCTACCTTTTCGCGCATCTGCATCTTCTTTCTTCTGACTCTTTCTCTGCTTTGATCTTCTCTCTTCTATTCTTCTCTTCTCTCTGACTCTTCCCATCCTGCTTTTCATCTGTCCATATTGTCGGCAGTTTGACTTCTAAAATAAACTTCCTTCGAAAATTTGTAATCGCCTAAGACCGACCTCATCACAGATGATTGCGGCTAAAAGGGGCATCATTCCAAAAATGCGTTGTTTCAGTTTGGTTTTTTTTGCGGGTCGCCCGGGCTCCATCAAATTGGATGTTGCTTGCCTGCATTTTGATGTGAGCACGCGTGTTGAACATAGTTGCTTGCACAATGGCTGGGAAATCTTTCCTGCAGGATTACCCGCCCGCGTGTTTATGAAAGTTTGCGGGTCGGTGCCCGACAACTGTAATGCGTTTTATGTCTCACATGTTCATCCCTATAGACACCAGGAATGCCAGCCGATAAATGTCAAATGTTGGAACTTGTTAAAAACCACCAAACCCAATCCCATCTGAGCAGTTTCCACCCCATGTTTGGTTTTGTCTGAAAATTGGGTACCCCGAAACCTTATGATTGACCATCATTTTCCTTTTTCAAACAATGATTTAGAGGTGTACATTTTTGAACACACCCATTTTGATGTAGCATATATTGTTACTTATATACCCCCACCGCATCACCATTATAATACCCCATTTTGAGAATATGAATCACAACTTGTGCGGGTCACATTAAAAGCCTATTAGAATCCCATGGAATTATAAGAATCACATTAATCAACCTTAAGATCTTGAGTTCATCAACATTGAGCAACTCATCAAAAATTGAATCCCACAAGAACCCCATTCAGCCCCCATGTTTGATGGCTAAGCCACGGTGAACAACGATTTTGTTGCGGCAAAAGGGTCCGATGCCAGGGCAAAGGAATCAACGTCTACACCCATGGGGAGATGCTGCCGGCGCATTCCTATCCCAATCTGAAGAAGTTCGCAACTTGGCCCAACCCACCTGTTGCGGTGCCAATATATTGGGATTCATGGAGAAATAATGTATCAAACATTGGGTTTCAATGGGATTTTAGGCATAATATAGTGGGGAAATGATGGGGAACCGATCAATATGGTGGTAAAATGGTGGTATACCCCCCTCAAGGTGGTGCTCCACGGTTTGATGGTGAATCCATGGGGCCATGAACCAACAGAAATGGGGATATAATAGGGATATGAAGGGATATACTGGGATTTAGGGGGAATGTAATATGCAATGTGCCCCAGTTTGTTTGCTGAATTGGTTTATACCTAGGGATCCTAGGGTAATTACGGTTCATGGAAGGTATACCTAAAGTTGGTTCAGTTTTCGAGCCCATGTATCCTTATTCGGTTATTTTTTGAGATATTGATGAATATAACTGTAAGTCGCGATAATGGGGGTATCAACGATGTATATGCATCTCAGGATTTGTAGGTGGTTAAGAAACCATCGTGCAGCCCATTTGTACTTGGGGAACCTTGCGGATATTCCATATGCAATTATTAGATCAATAGGTAGATACATAAAGGATTGGGGTGTCAAATCTAATATGGCGGGACCTCCATCAAGTGCCAAATTCGCGGGGTGCAACCAACAGTTTTCAGGGGCCATAGCGTTGTCAAAGCTCAAGGCGGCGGGATTGGTTACAATACATTTCGATGCAAGGCAAAGCGCATGATATTTTGTGTTTTCGTATTATGTACTTGGATAGCAAGACAGGTAGGTATATAACGAGATGAACATTTTTTGGGTATATAAAATAGGATTGATCAGGTTAGATACTTTAGGTAAGGTAAGAAATGATGAAATTAGTTTCGCCCCAGAAATTGTTTATGAGAAAATCGAATTAGAAACACCTCCGTTTTGCAGGGCACAAAAACACGGCTTCAAACAACTTATTTCATCCGGTATGCAGGCACACCTCAAGGGCCACTACGGCACGCATTGGGGCAACCAGCAGAAGGCCCATTTCGGCGCCGGCGGCCACGTATCTTTCTTGGAGTTCCATATAGTCCAAGCATTTGGTATACCCCCATGTATCACAAGTTCCATGGGCAAACTCATGAAAAACCAGGATAAACCATGATAAGACCACGAAAAATCAGAATAAAACATGATAAACAATGATAAACCAGGATAAACCACGATAAACCACATTGGGTTTCGGTCTGTTTTACATTTGGCCAAAACTAACAAAATAAGGAGATTATCATAAGGGGAATTTTAATGGTGATCCCCAATTGACTGTTGCTGTCTGCAAATGTGGTTTACCATGGTATAAATGGTTAATTTAATTCGAACATGTGGGATTTGTTTTTGCCATGAAATTGTTTGTGTCCCCTATTTTCAGACAACCATGTCTTTGCTGTTTTCCATCCCAAAAAATGGATGAATATTTTTGGGAGGAAATATGTTGGGATGCGTGGTGCCTTTCAGCGGCGATGATCATCCCAGGAATCGTCATGGTGAAGCGTTTCCACGGCAAGTCGGGGTAAGGTTTTAAACTCGGAAACCATTGGTTATTCATCAGAATACCCAACATGGGGGCATCTATGGGCATCTGCTGAAAATGGTCTCAAGTATCTTGAGCCACAGCCTTGAATATCATATCAAGCTGCCCAGAAAGCATCCCCATGGTGGCTTGCCTTCCGGGTTTTTTGTGTACCCACCCTTCTGCAGGAGTTCCGATACTTCCCGGGCTCCATTCTGATGTCTCTTGGCATGGACACGGATGGTAAAATCATATGGAAATATCGGGAAAAATAATACAAAATCCACCAATGTAATGGGAATTGTCATTTTCATGGAGAAAATGATGATAGAGCACAGGATTTGGTGGGTTTCCCTGAATTTCGTAAAACACAAATGCGTAGAGCAACTGCAGAGAAAGCACCACGACTATCTTGCTGAACCCCGGTGATCGTGCTGGTCAGAGATGTTCCACGATTTTCGGAAGGTTGAAGACCCTCGGGTAAACTATCATCATAGCTATGGAAATCACCATTTACAACAGGTACAACTATAAATGGACCAGTTTCAATAACTACGTTAGATGTCGTTAGACTATGTGAGGGTATCTAAAGCTGACAATGATCAATAGCCTGCACATGGGGAGTTGGAGTTCCCTGAGGGGGACCCAATTGGTTTGAGACTTGATCTACCTATTTCAAACCAACATGTTCATGTTCTATAAAAAATCCTCAATCTTCAAGAGGAAGTGCACGTAGAACTGGGAAACACATCAGTTGAAAGGGTTATATCACCATAGTTATAGGATGGCTGATGGGTAATCACCAAAGCTATCAACTATTGAATACCCCCTAATATAGCCTATATACTGATAATGTAACTCCCAATGTTTACCCTATATTCCAACTTGTGGAGGGGATCACCATGGTTATTCCATTGTGTTTCATCCCTGGCAGTGCGGTGAACCAAATGCCATAAACCATCTCCAATGCAACCATAAGTGTGTAGTATTGAAACCTGCGGCAAATAGGAGTTGTTTATTGGTGCTGATATTAGAGCTCCCTGGAAGTATCCAATCTGTTACAATCCACCCATGAAACTGTGGCTAACCTGAAGTCCAAGAGCACCCAGTTCGCTGTGCATTGGAACCCTATGCGAAGGTGAAGCCTTCACCATTGCGAGATCCGTTTGAGGGCTTGAGCAGTGCAATCAAACAATGGGAAGAACACTTAAGGCTCTATGAGAGCATAAAGAGATCAGATCGCAGCCGGCGCATCAACTGGAAGAGATTCGCAGTAGCGTCCTGTTTTGCACATTGGCCCTACCGACTTGGAGCGTCATCTCCAATTGAACAGATCCAGGTACAACACTTTGGTTTGCCACATGAATGGCTTGTTTGATGTTAGCCGCATTTAATCATGGCCACCGCCCGCCAGCAGAAGAGAGCAAATGGAAACATGAGGAAATCGTCTAAGCTTTCGTGTTCATAACGTGTCAACCTTAGATTGATGCAGCATAGTACTAACCCATCTTGTAAAGATATCAATGGTTTTGTTTTAAAAACTCCGTGCCCCATTCCTTATAAATGGCTATAATTTGGGTATATCCTAGTTTCAAACACATCCATAATACGAGTAATTATACACACATATATATATATGTAAGGCTCCGGCTAATTTTCAGCCATGCAAAATTTCCGCTTCAGCCCCGGCCAAGGACTTCTAACTGCTTGATGCCGCCCATGGGAAAGTACCGCGAGAGGATTTGGACTTGTGACGTGGATTCAACTGGTGTTTGGGGCTGGGAAGTCATGGGAAAAATCTGGGTCGCTGTATAATGGCTATGGTTCTTGGTGGTTATTGGCATGTATTAATGGTTACTGACAGGTTATTGATCATTACTCGAAGGGATTAATGCATATTGCTGGTTCTTTATAGGTATTAATTTATAGGTATTAAAGGGGTGATGGGGTTGCTTGATTAGCTGAAATTATGGTGGGTAACTTACGGCTAGGAGGGGCGGGCCACGTTGCACTTTGATCTTGGTGAACAAAAAAGTGGTTACTCTCTGGCAATTTAACTGGCAATTTAACATGTTTCAGGCTGAAAAAAAAAACTTCAGATGGAAGATATGGTTGAATTACCCTGTGGTTATTTAACATAGCTATGGAAAATCACAATTTCTAGTAGATAAATCATCAAAAATATCTATTTTCATAGGCCATCTATACCATAGCTAGTACCATAGCTATGCAACAAATAACCAGAGGGTATCTACAAATGGGTAAGTGTCCATTGCCAGGTTGCCAAAAAAAAGGGAAAGCTTTCCGCCGGAAGTTCTGTTGCTGCGTGCAACTTGGGAAACGTTCCATGGAACAACTTGGGGACTTCACTTCACCTTGGAGGTTCAAAAAGAATATGACTTGGTTAAAACTAACCGCCCATTTGGGAATGGTTTATGCCACCTATTAAAATGGTTAAATTGGGGATTGTTTATGATTCTACCAACATTACTTGTGATTCAAGTGGGGATTTGTTCAACTAACTTACCTTGGGGATTTCATATATTTGGGGATTTCATCTGGATGAATTTGATCATGACCTCACTATGTGCCGTCGCTAGAATGATCGTTTACATACGGCAAATTCATCCCCAAATGGCTGAACCTTAGAAATTTGGTCACATGTCAGGATACGACGCGGAAACCATGAAGAGGATCTCGAGGTCCAGCAAGACCTGTGGGAGGCATTCACCAGCCATGCAGGATGTGCATGTGCCATGACACGCAAACTGTTCATTGCGAAATACCAGCTCATTGACGGTGACTGGCTGCGATCCCGGGCTGAGGATCCAGCATTCAGGAACGCGATGCATGTGGACTGTGGCTCTGCGAGGGTTGCTGATCAACAGTGGCAAGGCGAGGCTCAAGGCACCAAAAAGTTTGCGGCATCCAATGCCTTGCGGTGGTCCCTGACTGCATCGGGTTAGTGAACTATTGCAGTTTGGCCACAACCTTCGGAGTCAAGCAGCAACTGTGGTTGAAACTTGCTTTACTTTAGGTAGGTATGTTAATACGTTTCGCTTTGTAAGCCACCGTGGATCCAAGAATATCCTGGCTGTCCCAAAATTTGAGGCCATGCAACATGAGACCATGCGTGAAAAAGAGGATGACTGGTTCAAGTCTGAATGGATAAGAGTTGCAGGAGGCATACAGAATAGGTTACAAGAAATGAAACTTCCGATATTTCACGAAAAGCCCCGTGGCAATCTACCCTCCCCCATTGCAAATCACCCATTCGTAGGTGGTGCTGATTACTGTAGGGAAATAAAATTGGATGGGAAATTACTCTTCTATTTTTTTGAGGTGGTTCAGCTTTCTACCTGGTTGGCGGCTTTTTCCCTTTGTGCGGCTCAAACACCCACCACCAGGAAAATTCAAGCCTGATTTAAGCCATGAAAAATATGAGTTTTAGCATGTTTTAGCATATTCGACCCATGAGTCCCAGAATTCGATAGAAGTAGATGAATCAAACATTGAAACCAGAAACTCGCATTGAACTTCTGTAGTCAACAATGGTTTCAACAAAATATTTCCTTGACAACAAAATCAAGCCATTGAAATCCAACGGATATAGCCCCATCAATAATCCTATTTAAAATCCCATTGACAGCCGCTTCTATCGCTCAAGTCTATCTTTTTGCTGGTGAAGCCGATGGTGTGTTCTCCATTCAGCATGAATAACCCCATGAATGAATATATATATATCTATCTATCTATCTATCTATCTATCTATCTTTCTATCTATCTATCTATCTAAATATATATATATATGTATCCATTGAATGGCCATGAATAGAAGCCATATTTCGGACCAGCTCAGGTGGCCCCGTGGGTTTTGAGAAGTTGCCCTGGGTAGTGAACAACGATTTTACCGACCTGATCCAGCAGGTTGGGTGCTGGCTGGTTTTTGTTTAATAGGATAAAGCATCAACAGATGGAGAATTCTCCAGGGCAAACCATCAAGATAAGCGGGATATCATGCAGATAGCCCAAAGGAATTGGGACATTGCTTCTTTCATGGAATGATACACCATTCAGTGATTATTTAGAATTAGATATAGACCAACACATGATAGCAGAAAAGACAAGTTATTTAGGTAGCATGTCTGGTTGGTTGGGATATGGCCATATTGCAAAATAATTGGAAAGCCAGTTACATAACAGGGAGCCAATGGGGATACATTAGAATGGGATATCATGTGGTATATGTGTGTATGTAGCCAACCATATATTATTTGGGTGTCTCTGAAAAAGGTGTAGGTCTTCCAATTGACTATGGTAATTGGTGTGAATCTCAAATGATAGTGCATCCATGACAAGGACGCCACTGCGACGTCACTGGAATGATGGTTAGTAAGGGACAACTATCCCCGAATGGCCTTCAGTTATTTGAATTATTGGTGTCAAGCAACAGCTCTGGCTGAAACTTGCGTTGAGTAGGTTGATGTCCGGTTGGTGAACTATTTTATTTTGTCCAGAAATATGAAGGGTATAATAAACCAACTAGTCTATGAATTGAATGAAACATACTTGGATATATATATATATATATTTATTTATTTATACTGTAACTCAATTAGCCAAAATTTCTGGGGTATAGGATGGGGTATCAAAAAAGCAGGGTTGGAATAGCAAATTCAAAATATAGATGCCTTTCAAAACAAACTGCGAGTTTGCATTGCCAAATAGCAGGCTGCAGCTTCAAATGTGCGCATTTCTATTGAAGAAACATCGTAGCTCCAGCATGATGCATTGGTCGTACAAATTGAAAATCCGAACATCAATAATCAGCAAAAATCGGGTAGCAGGCACCCCTGGTAAAAAGCAAACAAGCTGGGGAATAGGATGGAATAGGCAAGTAAGCGTGGTCAACGCAGTGACAAGGTTCTTGTAGGAGTTGACACTTTGCTTTGCATGGACTGGTGAGATGTAGCGGGAGACTTTGTTTTGTGATCCTGTGGTTCATTGGCAGCTGAATCCACCCATGTTTTCAAATTTGCCTCGGTTTATGGCCAATGTCACAGCAAAAAGGATGCTGAAGCAGTGGATGGAATGGGGACCTCACTGACCAACCTCACCATAGATAACGGGCAGCAAGGGCATTCCTAAATTGCTTATGAGTTTGGGATGTTTTTTCCCTGGGCGAATCAAGCTGTGAAGGGTATCTGAGATCATGCAAGATTAGCCATGTTTTTTTATGGTATATACATTAAGAGACCGACCAACAAAATTGGGGATGACATTGAATATTACTAGTAACGGATATTTCAATGGTGAATGTTGCAATCTTAATAGTTTATATTTTGATATGGATGGGTAAAGCATTTTAGTAAATGGATTCTTCATGTGATCCAAATCATCATCATCGCAGGCTCAGAAGTTTGAATCTTGGCAACTGGGAGGAGGTCTCTGACGGCAACGGATATGTTTGTTACCCAAAAAAGGGGATTGAAACTGAATCATTGGGCAACTCACAATAAAGTGGAAAAAATCATTGGGGGATAACCATCATTGGGCGACTCGAACACTTGGGGTTTAATTAAAGTTGATCCCCAAATATTAAACTTATTAGATCTTATTAAACCACCCTGGAACCCACCAGATTTAATAGATCCAATAAGGTTACGAGGAAGGGATTTGTCCAGCCAAATCGGTGTACCATCCCTGGTCTCACCAAAAATTGCTGGGATAAATCATCCCAATTTGGATGTTTTATTGTTGGGTTTACCTAATTATAGCAATGTTTTTTCAAGATGTCTTGGATAAGTAGATGATGCGATAGGCAATAGATATGCATGCGCTGTTATTTTCCGAAGTTAAAATCAGCGATCGCAAAGAATGGTCAAATGCTTTCAGGAGGAATCAGCCACAGTTAAAATCTGGGTTCCAAATTTCGAGATGCACGGACTTGGTAGGATAAACTACTACTTATCGAGGGAAGAACATCATCACGGGGTTAAAGTTCAAATGTGGTGTTTTTTGCTTGGGTAATCATGACTCATACCTGAGGTAAACAAACATGGCAATGGGAAAAGGCCCCTTTTTATTGGATAATAATCTATAGACAATGGATGTACATGTCTGATTGTTCTTGGCAATTTCGAAACCAATAACAAGTAGTGACATCGCCCCATCAAAGCAAACATGTCGTACTGTATCCGGCTCAAGTTGTTTTTTTGACGATTGGTGTCCAAGATCAGAAATGTTGTCTCTGGCTGATGTCTGTCTAAGCCCACATGAAATATCCCTGCATGGTAGCTCCTGGTAGTGTTTACCGTGGGGGTTGCTACATGGGCGTGGCTCAAATGAATTGGCCCCGGACAGGTTGTACGGTTGAAGTTCAGTACATGAGAAGTTTGGTGGGGCAAGTAGAACGCCAATTGATTGCTACGGGTGTGATTTATTGCTGATGACGATCATATGACTAGTTTATTCATGACTGGTTAATAACTGTAAATTTGGTGTGATATAATAACTATAACTAATTCAGGACCTTTTTTTTACAAACCAGTACTATAATCATAGGCGCAGCAGATCAATGGCAAATATGTCATTGACATTTCTACCATATATATTTGTATATAATAT